AAAAAATCCCAGGAAACCATTGTTTCTTTAGGCTCTGATTAATGATCACTCAGAAGCCAGGTAAAGGAGCTATAATTGGGCAAATGGATACCAGAAATCCAAGGAAGGTAGGACAACATGTGCGAATGGTCAGCTCTCGGGAACTCTGCAGGGGTAAAAGGAGTAGCAAATTATCAGCCTTTCCACTGTTGCTGCCCCAGAGAGGCCCAAGGGAGTGGGACCTTGTGCCTGGGGCCACATCATGTCCACTCTGAGATGTCCTGTGTCTTCAGGATTACCAGATGGATTTAGAAACATCGGAATGCTGATTTGGGCATTCTTGGCTGCTGAGAAGACCATATCCTTTCTTGCTGGTGGATAAGTGCTTTGTAAATATTTATGGAGTGACACCTGGTGCCCAGCCCCCCATGGTGGTGTAAAAATGTGTATGTGTAGAGCTTCTTCAAGAATGATACTTAGCGTTTATGCTGATTTATCTTTTGTTATAGCTTCCTTACTAGATTTTTTTCCCTTTATTATTTTGGGAAATTTCAAACATACACAGAAGTAGAGAGAAAAAGAAAATGAACCCCCATGTACCTATCACCTAGCTTCAATACGTCTCAATTTTTTGCCAATTTTATTTTATCTATTCCCTATTTTGGGAGGTGAGTCTGGCCTATTAGAAAACAAATCACAGACATTAAAATCTAAGAAAGGATTGAAATAAACTCAGTGCGAGAACTACAGCTCATTTTCCTTTGTATTCCCTTGGTGCCCAGCACTATGCCTGAAAATAGCAGGTGCTCAGAAAAGACTGGTTGAATTGAGAGGAGGGAAAACAAAATTATGAAAACACCGTCTTTTTTAACTAACTCTGGGGCAGACTTCTAGAAAAGAAAAGGATGGTGTGTCCTGCCCTAAAATAACTTCTTTCGTGTTACCTATAGTTTTTCTCTATAGCTATGATTCCCGTCACTTCAAGATAGCCTTCATTGAAAAAGAATTTTTTTTTTTTTCCAGAGAGATTTCAGGGTCTCTCAATTTTTCAAATGTTATTATAGATCCAATCTGATGACATTGTCCCAAACATCAACCAGGAGTTACCTGGCCTCAAAAGAGCTTTCTTTAAAAAATCATTATGATTTTTTTATTATAAAAGTAATATGTACTCATTGAAAGAAAAAGAGGAAGTTACAGAGAAATAGAAAATAAAAATCTGTATTTCAATATGTGAGTAATTCCAGAGATAATGTTATCTTGGTTAGCATTCTGATAAAATCTGAGCGTAAAAAAAAAAAATTTTGAGCATGAAGCATATTTGTTAATCTTTAAGTCAGTAAATAGTATGTTCTTGGGAATGTACCAGGTATGTTTGGTATATAATCTCATTAAATTCTCAGGTTAATGTTGTAAGATAAGCTTTTATTTTGTTTTGTTTTCTTACTGTTTTCTAGCTGGGGAAACATGCCTAAAGGAGTTGCCTTCAGTCATTTACCTTATAGGCAAGCAGGGCAGGAGATCTCTGTTATAAAGACAGTTGGGCAGGTGTTACAGACCCCTCACACTTGAGAGGTTCACTCACAGGCCCAAGGAGACCTCACACCTGAGTTTCCTTCATGCTAGCTCTGAGGAGAGCCATAAGGCTAGAAAAAATGGGAAACGATTATTTTTAACTGGATCCACATAGTCTTAGTAAGCAGAGTTAGCAATGAAGAGCTCATTATTAAGTAATCATTAAGAATGGCTCCTTGCTTTTATCATAAATTTCTTCTCTTTGGACCAATTCCTCGGGCTGCTGTTCAACAGGATTAGTCTGATTGTTCCCAACTCACTACTTCTTGGGCAGGTTTTAAATCTCTCTAAACCACCACTTCTTCCCTCTGTAAAATGAGAGGGCGGGATACCCGTGCTTTGTGGTCCTTCCTGCGTCAACGCTGCAGTACTTCTTTGATCGGAAGTCTTTTCAGGCAGGTGAGTCTCCCTGTCCCTCTATAGGCAGCTCTTAGAAAAACGATGTTCCCAGTTTAAATTTTCCAAGAATCTTGAGATTTTTATCAAAAATTGTTACCAATCCTAGCATTTAAGCTTCCTGCAATTAAGTCCTCAAGAAGCTGGCTGATGGCCCCAGGATCCTACAGACTTAACTCTTACCTGGAGGTTAGAGAGCAGACCTCCAGGAAGCCATTTGAACAAACAGTCCCAAGGAAAGAGACCGGAGGATATGGGAGAGAAGGAAAGGGCTGCCAAAGAAAACTACATATTTGAAAGGTTTGTGCTGGGTGCACCCAGGCACCAAGGGGAGAGATAAGAGATTGAAATGTCCATGTGAAGGATGTGGCAGCCCATGTTTTGGAGCTGACTGCACGGGCTCAGACTCCAGCTCCACACTTACTAGTTGTGTGGTCTTGGGCTAGTTCTGTAATTTATCTAAACCTTCATTTTCTCCTCTATAAAACGAGAAGACTAATAATAATTCTTACCTCACAAGATGAGATCAGGATTAAATAGGGTACTACAAGGGATTTAACCCAGTGCATGGCACAGAGTAAATGCACAAATAAATCACTTTTCTTATTAACTGTTATTACTGCCTTCAGCATCAATTTCTTTTGATACCTTCATAAGACTAAATATAATAGGCCATACTGTTTAATTGCTTCTTGAGTCCAATACTCTCTTTCCTGGTTTCCTAAGTTTCATTTATAACATTGTGTCTAGACAGAAATGCTTTCTTATTTTCCCTCAGACTAACCTAGAGCTAAATTTTTGGAATACTACCCTTCAGTAAATATGAGGCTATCTTGAGAGTTGCTAAGATTGTTTTTTGTTTTTCACAGTGAATTACCACATCCCCACATCGCATTTTAAAAACGAGAGCAACTTTGTTTTCATTCTTAAAGGACAGAAGTATACCACACAAAATTCCAGAATAAAAAAGAAAAATACACCACTGGCTAATCTCATACTCTTGATGCAGTTATAGTTAGCTTGTAGCTATATTTTATTTTTAGTGGTAATCATACACACATTTCGAGTTTATTTTTCATTTTTCTTTTTATTACTTCATCGTGTTTTCCTGTTATCACTTGGCATAGGAAATATTGTGCTCTCCATTCTATCCATTTAATTGAGGATGTGTTTGCTTACAGAGATAATCGGTGCTCCAGCTTTAACATTTTTGTACTCTTCTGATAGCACATTTAGAATTTAAGGAGAGATGTGATTTTGGCAACACAGGGAGGATATGCAAGGCATTGCTAAAGTAAAGTAACCTAACAATATCAACATTGATGGTCACCACCGAGTGGGTGCTTACTGTGTATCAGGAGGTGGGCTAATGCTTGATGTATCAATACATTAGGTCATCCAGTCCCACAATAACCTCTCTGGGTTTATCCCTATTTTACAGATAAGGAGTCTATAAACTGTGTTTATCCCTATTTTACTTCTCTGGGTTTATCCCTATTTTACAGATAAGGAGACTATAAACTGTGTTTATGCCTATTTTACAGATAAGGAGACCAAGGCTCAGTTAAGTGGTTCAAGGTTTCATGGCCTATATGTGGTGGAAGCAGTAGTTTCTGTTTGAATCAAAACCCTGACCTTAAACACTGTGCTGTAGTTCTGCCTGTTATTCTTAAGGCTTCCTATAAGACCTCCTGAGTTGACTCTCTCTTGTGTTTCTTGCCCTCTCCTCCGATCTGTTGAGACATGCCCCATGCCGGTGCCTCATTGTGAATACAGTATTTATAGCTGAAAAATCCTTGGTTTTTCATTCCCTGTCATTGAGGAACATTTTTTTTTAAGCTCTCACATAGAAGAGCTTTTGTCTTTTCTCTTATTTTCTTTTTGGATCAAAATACTCTTTGTAACAAGGTTTCTTTAAGTTGTGCCAGGAATGGGCAACTAAGGAAGAGAACTATTAAGGGTGTATTTAGGCTATGCCCAGCTCGGAACTGAGGAGATATTTACAGTCTCTTCTTTGCCTTCTTCTCCTGCACAACATGTGGACATGGCTTTTCTCACCCAGACAGCCTGGGTGGTCATTCAGAGAGAACTGTGATGTGCAGATGCTTGGAGCCTTATACCTCTAAAATTTCTGATTTTCTGGTCTCTAAACCCTAGTTGGAAAACTCCCATTACTGTTAGTCAAGATCCACTGGAGCTAGGTTTTCAGTTTGTGCTGATGTGAATCATTTCAGGATAGGATTTTCATTTGAAACATGTCTTTGTGATTACTTTCTAGAGATCGTTGGAGCAGAACTACTGAGCAAAAGCAGGCTTTGCATCTTCAGTTGTCATCAAGTTTGCCATCAAATTGGAAAAGTTGAACTTGAAGCCTCCTGCCTGCAGGAGGCAGAGTGATACATATTGCTCACATAATACAAGACATGGGCTTCCACATGACTTTTTACCTTTCCTACAAATTCCGATTACTATTGCTTTTTACCTTATGCCTGACAGTGGTCGGGTGGGCCACCAGTAACTATTTTGTGGGTGCTATTCAAGAGATTCCTAAAGCAAAGGTATTCATTGCTAATTTCAACAAGGCCATCGTTTTGGGGAAGAAAGAAACTCTGACTAATGAAGCATCTGTGAAAAAAGCAGACCTCGACAACTGCCCTTCTACATCTCCATACCTCAGTAAGTATACATTTTTTCTTTTTTACAAGTGCTGTGTAAACTTTTTTATTAGATATATATTACAGAAAAGTACAAAAATCAGAAGTGTACAGCCTGGTTAAGTTTCACAAAATGAACATACCTGTGTAACCATTATGTAAATTAAGAAATGGAATCTTCCTAGAACCCCAGAAGTTTCTATGCTTCTTTGAGTCACCACTCTTACTTCAAGACTCGAATCCCATCCCATAGATTTATCCTGTTTTTGAACTTTACATAATTGGAAACATACCCTCTGTACTCTTTTGTGTCTGGCTTCCATTGTTCAGCATTATGTTTGTGAGCTCTATCCATATCGCCGATGTAGAGTTTTCTATTATATGAACATATCCAATTTTATTATCCAGCCACAAAAGTCTCAGCAGCATACATCAACAGGCATTATTTAGCTCACAAGTCTGCTGGATGAGCTCAGAGCCAGTTGATCTAGGCTGGTGGCCCTGTGCCACTTATCTGTCTGTCATCCTTCTCCTGGTACCATCAGGGCTAGCCTGGCCATGCTCTTCTGGCACCTTCAGTGCACAAGTGGAGATGAGCAGGCACATCAAACCTCTGCTTGGTGTCACATCTGTTAGCATTCCCTTGGCCAAAAGAATGGAGTCAAGAGACAGGACTGAGTACGTTCTTTAGTGTTGTCTTAAGTGTTAATTTCTTAAATATGTTGTATGTTTTGAGTCCCCTTTGATGTCTTGCCTTTCTATTTAAATGAACGGTAAATTAATTTTAGTAAACACATTAATTGGGAAAAACTCCACTGTGATATATACAATCTACAAATGTTCTATCAGACCTCTGATTCTCCAGAACATCAAAGTGCTTATAGTTCTCCAGACACTCCTCTGAGTCTTCTTTTGTTCTCTCTTTCTGGAATGCCTTTTCTCAGTTCATGTCTGCCTGGTAGATTCCTGTTATTCATCAAAAATCCAGCTTAGATTACTTCTCTCCCAGAAGGGTTTCTGGGACTGTCCCAGAGTTAATCTTATGCTCCCTGTGTGCCTGCCTATATTTCTATTGTTGCACCGACCATAGTGTGTTGTTATTATATTTGCCTTTCTTCCGCAGGCACAGCGTGCAGGTGGGATGAAGGCAGGGTGAGACTTTCTAGCCCTGCAAAGTCTGGTGCCCCTCACTGGTTTTATAGAGGTGGCTCTCAGCATACACTAAATTAGCTCTCTGTGGGGCAGCCTGGGTTCTTCAGAGGCTTCTTGATTTTAGTTTAGAAAAAACCTGCCGACTCGCTTTCCTAATTGAATCACGGTCTTGCACTGTGTTCATATTGGCATGCTGTTTCTCTTTATTCAGTCACGGAAAAGCCAAGATATTATTCCTCATCATGTGAGGGAAATTGTTCTGCTCATGGATTACACAAATTGAGGTAGGGAAATGAGTTACTGAAATGCAAATCTGACTGTGTTATCCCCCTTGTTCAAAATCCTCACAATGTATTTAAGCAATAAATGCATTCATAAAAATAGATGGGCAGAAAAAAAAATAGATGGGCAGTGACGCAATACTGAGCAAGTACCTGGATTAAAAGGGTAACACAGGAATGATGAATTAAGATGGACCATTAGTGACCGGAGTAGGAATAAAACTTGAGAGGATGTCGTGCGGGTTGTAGGGAGACTTTGTAGAGTAAGTGGAAGCAGGTACTAGAAGGTTAGGGCCCATAAAAGTTATGACAATGAGAAGGTGAGCAAGAGGATTAATTTATATCAGACCCCATTGCATGGGGCTCTTTCAGGGGCCAAGAACAGAGACAGGTCAGATTAACTTGGATGATGGTGTTTATTAACAGGCTACTCAGGAAACAGTCTCAGCAGCCACATCATCATCTCCCAGCAGCTCTATGGCCTGGCACCAGCTCTAGTAGCTTGCCTTTCCTATAATTCCTATTCTTACTGTTTGTTTTTAGGGCATTGCTGTCTTGCTGACTGTATGTCTTGCATGCAGACCCTTCAGAAAGGCTCTTTCTTATAGGCCAGTTATTCTTTCTTAGTGGCTGGAAGCAGTTATTTGTCCTTGGTGCTTTGGGGCAGAGTCTTTTAACAGCTTCACAGACACTAGAGTCTGATCTCAGCAGCCATATGCCAGATAGGGGATGGTCACATAGAACAAGGCACTGTGACTTATATATAGGAAGAGCCTTTGCTCAGAAGAGGATAGCCTTGCAAACTATCTTGAGATTTTACAGACTGATCAGTGTATATGGAGTTTTAACCCATTTCCCATTTGCCCCGAGAATACTCGCTGGTGGTGCTTGCGGTTGTAGCATTTATCCTGAGATAACTCGCAGATTACAGTCCTAACCTTACCCCCAAAGTTTGCCATGAAGTATCTCACTTTTATTATTTTCGCATTGCTCTAGTATATCTATATATAGTCTTTAGAAACAAATGACATCATTCTATTTATAGCATTCTGTTTTTAATAGTGGTATTTCTATTTACAAAATAGTAATTCTTGATCACTGAAAATGTCAAATCCTAGAAAACATAGCATTCCTACGTATGATGTTAACATCTCCTTGAACAACTGTCAGCCAAAAATTCATTTAATGAATTTGATTTATGTATACACTTCTGTTACATTAGGATTAGAGACAAGTTCTGTTTAGAAGAAACTCTAAGAACAGTTTTTATATTTTATTTTCACATTGAAAACCAGTCAAATTTGCTTGAGCCTCAAAGGCCATGTTTATGTAAAATTAAATTAACACTGGCAGCGAGCTGCACTTTTTTTTTCTGATCGAGAAATGGGTTAAAAAAGTGTGACTCAGTTCCCTAACCAGAACTTCACCTCCTCTTTCCAGTCAGTGTTCCCTGTTAATTCAGATCAAAGAGGAGGGTCACTGGCTGTAGCCTGATCTTGAAAGCCTTGCATGAGATTGGTTACCATGGATGTCTCTTGGGTTTCATCCAGTCAGGCTGCATCCAGACCCACTAAATAAATGCTGCATTGGGGATGTCTGCTACTGTGACGCAATGGGAGAATTCTGGCGCTGTTGCTCATTTTTGTTACTGCTGGGTTAGGGAGTGGTCTAGTTTTTACTTCATTCTGCCATTTTACCCCCAGGGAGCTAGGAGACCTCCTAAGAGCTCTGGAAAGGACTGAGAAAGGGGTCTTGTTCATGAGCTTGATTCTATGGAATGCTCTTGATTTTTAAGAGATTTCACCCTCCTTTGGGATTTTGAGAAGGAAAAGTGGATAGGGCACATTTGAAGTTAGTCTAGCCCTGATCTCTGCTCTTCACCAGGGTCATCGGGACAGAATGTATTTCATTCTTATGGATAAATCACAGGGCCAGACTTAGTTATTTAGCCACATGAGAATGCTCTTATATGTCATTTATTTGCTTTTGTAGCCAATAACCTGAATCACATGATTCTGTGGTTGTAGTTCATGACCAAATGAGGCTTTAGAGTAGTAATAATAAAAGCTAATACTCATACAGTGCTCCCTGGGTACCAGGCAATGTTCTAAGAGCTTTACATGTACTAGCTCATGTAAGCCAATCAACACTTGATGAGATAGCTACTGTTGTTTCCCGTCCTGTTTTAATTGTAGGAGGTCAGGACAAGCTCATTTTCAAACCAGATCTTACTCTGGAAGAAGTGCAGGCAGAAAATCCCAGAGTGCACAGAGGCCGGTATCACCCTGAGGAGTGTAAGGCTTTACAGCGGGTTGCCATCCTCATTCCACACCGGAACAGAGAGAAACACCTGATGTACCTGCTAGAACACCTTCATCCCTTCTTGCAGAGGCAGCAGCTAGAGTATGGCATCTACATTATCCACCAGGTGAGTGTAGGGGCAGACCTGGTCTCTGCCTCCAGATTCTCCTTTCTCTGAGGAACTTGGCCATTTGTCTCTTGTTTCAAAGGAGCATCAAATTATTGTCAAAGGAGAGGTCTCTTACTTTGTTTATCCTTGAACAGAGTAAAGAAAATCTTGTCCCAGAATGTGGAGTAATGAGACTGGGAATTTTTACTGCCTCATAAATGAACCTCTGGAGGAAGACCATTTTATTGTTAGCCCTTCCATGTTAGCTAAGGACTGCCCTATGACTTTTCTCTGAGATTTACGTTCTGTTTCACTCTGCATTTGCTCTATACCACACAATGAGATCTTGGAATTGTTTTGTGTTACTGAGCCTGGCTGTTCGTTGGGGGTCTAGACAGAGGATCTGACAGACTACTGTGTGTTAGTTAATAGCCATGGGGTTCTATGACCATTTCCACCATCGTGCCTTTAACTTTGCTACTGTTTATTATGTAAAACATGTTTAGTTTTCACTTTCTTGATTTACATGTTTGGCTTCCAGAGGCATGATTTAGTAGGAGCACAGTAAATGTAAGTGTAGGCTGCTTTTGAAGAGTTTACTTCTAAGTGGAGTGGGTGATTAAAGATGCCTTTATTTGGTATTAATGTTTATTGATAGAAAAATAAGGCGTCAACTTAAATATCCATGTCTAGCTTTTCAAAAGTGTCCTGGGCCATCCAAATAATCCCCTCTCAAATCCTTACAAGTGCTAAAAATGCAAAAGAAGTAATTAATTACATGCTTACTATTGATCATCTCAGTAATATTTGTTTTAGGAAAACTTTTGACAAATTAGAGGATGCAGCTCTACAGTGTATACTTTATAATAAACTGGAGCTTTTGAAAATCAAAGTGCATATATAAACATCTATGCCTTTTTTTTTTAGTATTTGAGACAAAATTTTACTATTATATTGTTTTATAATTATTTTTGTTTTTCACATTGTTAGTCATTCTGAGTTCTTACTCAAGACAGCCACTCCCAATGTTTAATATTTTTACATAATCAAAAAATATGTCTGCTTTGTGTTATTCTTTTCAGAAAAGCACTGTGGTAACTTTTGTGAACAGCCTGTACTTTTGTTATGAAAAATTGTTTATCAAACTGGAATTTATTCTGAAGACATTTGATCTATACAGCCATGAAAAAATTAATACTGAATGAAAATCTTTTTCATAGTCTTGTTCTGGTCTTATTACTAGGCAAATTGTGTTCCTTTTTTCACCTAGTGACAAATCCCTTTTGTAAGGCCACTGTGAGGATTAGCTTCCACCATTAAGTGTTAAAACAGGATTCTCTTACAGTGATTCCAAGAGACTTTTAAGTAGCTTAGAAATATTAGCAATAACCTCTGTTTGTAGGTCACGAATTCTCAATCCTTTCTGGCCAGCTATATCTCTCGGAAGCTCAGTGTAATTTGTTGCATAGGGTAAGGTTGAGATGAGCTGAATGAGAGTTGAACAGTGAAGCAGTGATATTTATTGGTATGACTAGTATGTAAGAAAGGTTTTGTAGTTTTACATGGAATAAATAAAGGTATATTTTAAAATTTTTTTCAGTTATTTTAAAACTATAGGCTTTTGAAAAATCGTGACAAAGTATGCATGACATAAAGTTTACCACCTTAACCATTTTTAAGTGTACAGTTCAGTAGTGTTAAGTATATTCACATTATTAAACAACTGATCTCTATAACTTTTTCATCTTGCAAAACTGAGACTCTATACCCATTTAACAACAGCTCCCCATTTCAGGGTATGTTTTTAAGTTACAGAATTTAAGTATGTATGAGAAATATTGCATGTACTTTGTCAGATCTTCATGTCACAAGTATAGTTGTGTGTAGCAGGAGTAATACCAGCTCCTGCATCTGAACTGAACTGGGCAGTATGAAACATTGTCTCAGGAGCTTTTCAGCATTTAATTTCCATATCTATAGGCTGGAAGTAAAAAGTTTAATCGAGCCAAACTCTTGAACGTGGGCTATCTAGAAGCTCTCAAGGATGAAAATTGGGACTGCTTTATATTCCACGATGTGGACTTGGTGCCAGAGAACGACTTGAACCTTTACAGGTGTGAGGATCAGCCCAAGCATCTGGTGGTTGGCAGGAACAGCACTGGGTACAGGTAAGGTGGCTCTGCTCATGGCTTGCTTAGGTGGAGAAGCTTGTTCTGTCCTCAAGGCTGTGTGAGATGTAATGTTTAGCGTGTCTGAGGGAAATGAGAAATAGGAAATATGGTACATGACATATCACTTAAAGTTCAAAACAGAAATTAGAGTATTTAGGTTTTTCCTTATCAGGAAAAAGCCCTACAACAGCCTTGGCAGAAGAGCAGAAAGATAAAAGGGAGAGAACAGGAGAAGAAAAATAATCCAGTTGTTGCAAATCATGGCCAGCCTCACCTGTAGCACCTATATAGTGGAACTTTTGCAAGCCGTTCCCTACTGTGTAGCACTAAAGTAACTTACCGGTCTGTCCTTGACTTCCCCCTCTAGGGGGCAACAAGAGCACTCCCCTTAGGTGAGCTTTTAGGCCTCTCTTGTAGGACTGTGACGTCTGTTTCCAGACTGTGGCATCTTTCTAGAATTTTGAGGGAGAATGGTGAGAACGTGTCCACTGAGTAGTCTGCTCAGGAGCCAGAACTCCCAGGACAAGTTCCTTTCTTTCAAAGCCACTGTGTGAAGTGCTAGGGACCACCATTCTGTCTTCATTCCCCATCTCTTATGTCCTCCAGGAGAGGCATCTCTACTTTTCAACCTTATTTCACCTTATTTTTATACCAATTCCCACTTAAGCACAACTAGGGGGAAATAGCGACCGAGAAAGTTCTCTACAAATGAAACTATATTCACTTATATCTGTGTACTTGACAGCTTCCTCCAAGCCCTGTCATTCACATGTACTGATGTCTGTTCTGTGGTGCTTACTGAGCTGGTGACCATGAGACCAATTTGAATAAGGCCGGGTGCCTTCCCTCAAGGAGTGCTGCCTGTTGGATGCTGGTGTGGTGAGACAGCTACAGTGGGGTTGCATCAATTTTGAATTTCTGCAAATTCGGCTATAAGTACTTGGAAACAAGGCAGGAAGGGAGGTGGGGAAGAAGCCGAGGGGAAAGATGCCATGTGCCTGAATGAAAGCAGGGGTAATGGGCCAGAGATCAGGGGAAGGTTCTGGAAGAGAATCACAGGATTTTTCCCTTTGAGGAACTTGATCTTTGGATCTGAATCTCATTATCTGGAGGTTTTGCTTTCTGGTCTCTTTGAACCACCTCTGCATTGAAGAAAGCAGCATGTCATGGCTGGGCGCCTCGGTGTTTTCAGAAGTATGTCAACTGTCTGTTCACTTACTGTGTATCTACAGCACAAGATACCTGTGCTTGGACCCTTGATATAGATGGTAACTTCCCATTGCACAGCTTTCTCTAAACATCTGAGGTGAGAAATTACAAATCACACAGGGCTTTTTTTTTTTTTTTAATTCAGATACACAGGATTGTTTTAAGGACAGACAGGCCTTTTGTTTAAATTCTAGATTTTATTTTTGTATTAAGCTGGACCACAAGAAATTGAGTTCTTGGGCATTTCTGCTGGGAATTGATTTTGAATAAAACTTCTGTGTAACAATCGTGGATATCACCAGAGGCTACTCACTCTAAAACCAGCCGTTGGTGCTTGCCTCGTCAGCACGGATACTAAAACCAGCCCCTGTATCAATCTTGCTCTTTTAATCTTGCTGTTTTAACTTGCTATTGTAAATGGCCAAACATTTCATTTATGATTGGCTATCAGGAAGCCTTTGTTTTCCTTGAGTAACTGACAGGTTTTCTTAATGTGAGTCAGGTGATTGGATACGTCTCCTCTTTTCATCTGGATGCAAGAAACTATGAGCCAAATGCATGGCCTTCTTTTTGACGCCATTTGCAAAGGAATCTTATTTGCAAATTAAAGTTCTAACATATTTCCTTGTTAATCTATTCTGATTTACATTTCTTATGGTCCAGATATGTCATTTTTTCATTTATATTTTTCTACTTTATTATATGTGTCATGTAAACTGTGGCCAGGGGAAGTCATGTGTAAGTTATGTAGGAGTTGCCCTCATCCTGGCCCCCATCCCTTACCCCCCTCTTTTTACCTTTGCTACTTTAGGCAGAATCCCCCTCATTGTTGGCAGCTGCAGTTGCTGGCAGCTAAGTATCTGCTCCCTGCTGGTAACTGTGTGTCATTGAACCACAGAATTTAAAGCTGCACACACTTTATTCATTATTACAATATCGCTATGAGTATGAGAAGTGCCAGAAATGTTTTCACTTTACACACATGCAGAGAGAAGAGGTTAAAGTGACTTGCCCCAGCTGAATCAGACTCTGAAGAAGCCAGAATAAATCTGTTTACCCCACTGAGCATGGTCAGCGGTAAAACTTTGGACCAGTCTGTGGCAAACTTTACTGCCAAGAATTTTTGGTTTCTACAAGGACTCTACTGTTATTTTATGACTACATTTTACCCATCTTACAGCCCTTTAAAAATAAAACTGTTCCAGGGCCAATTAAATATTTGTGCTTTTCTGCATAACAAGAAAAACCAAAAGCAAAGATCGATAAACATATAGACTTGCCATCCAAGAGGCCACTGAGAAACAGTTCTTTAACTTTTCTGACTGGTCTCCTTCTGCACCTCTCACTGCAGCTAAGCGGGCCTCCAGGTGCTCCTCAGACTGCCTGTTCTTTTCTCTTTCTCTACGTTTCTGCATGTGAAAGGCATTATCGTCTACCTAGTCGCCCAAGCCAGAAACCCCAGGATTGTTCAGATGCATTGGGTTGTTCAGGAAACGGACTCTGAGATGGATATTGGCACGCGTGTAAGTGGAGATTTGCATGCAGGAGCTGTCTCCTGCTCTTTACTGCCTCCCCTGAAAAAAGCAAAAGTAAGAAAGACAGTATATTCTCTGTAACACTTATTCATGCCGAACCTGGTTGCAGCCTCAGAATCCTTAACTCAGTGCCCTTGGCAGCCACAGTATTCATTGAATTGACACCTGAGATGAAATCTGTCATCCAGCTCTGATGTTATGGTGCACACTTACAAGTACCTCTGTAGACATCTGCACACAAACATTAACAATAACAGATGGATGGCACCTTGCTTAGTGAGCACTTGTCTAGACAGAGAAAGAAGGCCAGACCAGGAAGACCAGGAATGTTAGGAGGTAGATGCCAAGCAGGAGTGAATGGGTAAAGTACATGGTCCTCAAGGTGTACCTTGAATGCCAGTCCTGAATCGGAGACTTCTCAAGTGTCAGTGGAGAACAAAAACGCTTTGTGTACATGTTCTCACTTTTTCTCTCCTCTCTCCTGCTCCAGGCTACGTTACAGTGGATATTTTGGGGGTGTTACTGCCCTAAGCAGAGAGCAATTTTTCAAGGTGAATGGATTCTCTAACAACTACTGGGGATGGGGAGGCGAAGACGATGACCTCAGACTCAGGTGAACAACAGACACAGGTCCCCTTCATGGGGCTCTGCTATCAGTAGTGGTGTTAGAAGCCTTCATTTCACATTTTCTGTAGATGCCAGTCCAGCAGGCCGCGAGGCCACAGATTTGGGCTTAAAGGATGACAGGGGGCAGAGGGAGGGCAGGATTGCCCAGATTGCTCGTTGCCACTGTCAGTTTAGAAATGATAGAGGGTGGCCTGTTCCTGTCTCATGGGTGTTTGGGGTCCAGAAGTGGGGATGGAGGTTTCTGTGGACTTGTCAGTGGGTATTGTTTACTGAGGAGGACCTCACCAGTGAGTGGAAAGTTCTAAACTTCAGAGTGTCTATAATTTGAGGAAAGTGGCCAGAGGGCTTGTTATAAACCTGTGCTTTCTCTCAGATCCCACGGGATCCTGGCACAGTTCCCAATGCTCAGAGCAGGGAGTGCCAACAGTCTGTGAGGAGCTGCACACTCTGAAGCAGACAAGGATGTCTCTCCTCTTATGCACCAGCCAGTCCCACACTCTGTGAGAGCAGCTGCTGGCCTGACTGCCGGGCTGGACTCTCCAGCCCGCTGGCATTACACTTGGATTATTTTGGACTACTTTCTGCTCTGAGGGATTCAGAGGGGATATGGCCTCATATCTCAGTTCCCTCCCCTGCACTTGGGTTTTATGGCCAGAAAGTTATAGGTATTCCTGTTTCCCAGAAATAAATAATTATTCAAGAGCCTGGAGCTTCAGACTTATATAGCAAGGTCTTTCTGGCTATCAGGAGCCCCCTTTCCTCCTGCTGTTGTCTGTCAGAAAGGAGCTTTCTCGGCTGGGGTTCTGAACTAATAGTTGTGTGACTACCCGAAAATTTTCCTTTGGCATAAATAAGCCAGGGCCACCTGCTGGTCTTGTTCCTATGTTTAGGATGAGAGTCTCTGGGATATTTCTGGCAGGAGCAAGTTTCCCTGACCAAAGGCTCCATAGGAAGGGCCATAGTGACAGGCAACGGGTCTTCATGGCCCAGCCCATCACCAGCCTGTGTGGCTGTGGCTTATGAAGTGGACAGAAGGTGTCTGCTAGATTTCATTGCAGGAGTAGCAAAGGCTAGAGGTAAAATATCCATCATCATCCCAAAATCCATTTCACTGCCCAGATAGGATGCTTATTAGAATTTTGCACTGACCATGTAATTGTCACTATCCTTTTCCTGTGCTCCTTGGCTTCAAAGTCAAGGGAACCCTAAGATCAGATCAATGATTTGATCATTTGTTAAGATCATCATGGCCCCCAGAATGGTTCTTGACTAACGCTATGGATAAACCAAATGATTTCAACATAAAAGTTGGTCAAGATTTATTTACTAAATATTCATGCACTCACCTGCATAGCAAGTACCACCCTTCTTTGCACTTACATATTACATTACATCTTGCAAAACATATTCCATGTGGATTATTTCATTTGAGCTCTTCTGATCAACTCTATAACACCATTGGAATTTAAAGATGGGAAACCAAGACCTGAAACAGTGAACTGACTTACCAGGGGTGTAAATAAAAAAGTGTAGATTTGAAAGTAGGTTCATGGACTTTAAAGCTTGTGACCTTAAATGATCATTACTTTCTTTGTTGAAAAAATGAAACACTAAATAAATGAGGGATTCTGAGAGACTTGATTCTGCTATTCGTCATGATGTTTTAAAATATGTACTTTCTCAATTGTTTTTGGAAAATGACAAACTGTAAATTGACACATCTTTGTACCCCAGAAGTAAATGTTAAACGTGATTTTTTTAATGGACTTACTGCCCGAGGCCCATCATTTTTAAATTCCTCTGTTACTTTTCCAGGGTTGAGCTTCATAGAATGAAAATAATCCGACCCATGCCTGAAGTGGGTAAATATACAATGATCTTCCATACTAGAGACCTGGGCAACGAGGTGAACATAGAACGGTGAGTCCTTGCTTCGTGTGCTTGGCAGCTGCCTACTTTAGTCTCTTCTGTCACTAAGAACTCTGCCAAATCTGATCAGATGAGCCAGTTTATTTTGTTCAATGCTTTGCATTAAGGTAATTTACAAAGTTGGAGGGAAGTAGGGGGAATGGCGTATTACACCCTCACGTGCCCGATACCCAGCTTCAACAGTTATCAATTCATGGCCCCTCTTCTTTCTCTTACTTTTTTCTCTTCCTCCACTGGATCATTTAGAAGTACCTCACAGATATCACAGCATTTCGTGGGTAAATACTTCTGTATATATCCTTAAAATATAAGAAGTCTTTAAAAAGGAACCACTATACCTAAAATAGCAACTTTCTTAATATCAAATATCCAGCCAATGTTCAGATTTCCCTAGGAATCGCCCTAGAAATTAGTCCTTTCACCAAGGATTCCTGAGAGATAAGCCAGTTCTTTAATGGGGCTGTAACTGAAGAATCTACATTTATTTGTTCTGATTTTTTTCCCTAAATTTACAAACAGCATTAAAGGCCTTTTAGCCCTTTTGTTAGAGTCTGCATTTTAAAACAATTTTAATGGATTTTTGCCCAATATACAGGGCTTCATTAGAGTTTGTATTTAAAAAACAACATTAAAAGGCTTTTAGCCCTTTTGTTAGAATTTACCACTTTAACAAAACAGCTATTTCTGTTTTCTGTGTGTCTTTCTAGTCTCTGTCCATAGGCATGCATTTTTCTCTTTAAATAAAAATAATAATAATTATTGATTAGAAACAAAGGAATACTTACAAATTATATGAAAAATCTGAATATTCTTTTTCCCCCAGATATTCATATTTTATTGTTTTAATGGCAAAAAAAAAAAAAAATACCTTACATGGATATATTTAAAAGTTGGGAACAAAATGGCTTTTACCTTACTCTTCCTCTCAGACTCAGTCCAGTTGACATGTGCCAGTATTGCTGGTGTCATTTTCCAAAGTTGGGTAAGCCCTGAAGTGGAGCCGTAGTGTGTTCGCAAGCCCCATTGGCCAGCGAGCCAAGAGCCTGCAGGGGTGGCCCTGGGCGCAGTGCTGTGCTGCCCATGGTGCGGGTACCGGGTGGATGAGCATGTTGCCGAGATACAGAAACAAACATTTGTTTACTTCACAAACAGAACACAGCTGTAGTTTTTTTCAAAAAGTTATCCAAAAAAACCCAAAGTAGAATCTACGCTGTTTCTTTGCGTGGCTGAAGCGAATCATTGAGTTGGTGCAACAGGCCTACTCTCTGGAGACCCTCGCCTCAGAGGGAAGGTGCGGGGCAGGCACTGAGCGTTTGGGCCTGGCCATGTTGCTAAACTGTTTCTGCTGCCGGGGGGTGCAGAAATCAAAAAATCGGAATATTCTTGATACCATGAACACAGTGATGCCCCCCACTCAATTTATTCCTGTTACCTATGGAATTAGGCCCTCCCTAATTCCATGTCTGTCCCCCACATCAAGAGGTAACTATTTCCTGATTTTCGTGGTAATTGTGATATAATGATTTGTACTATTTCTCAGTTTTCTTGTTTCCCCATATATGTGTATCCCTGTACAAAAGATTATTTAGTTTGCATGTTTTTCACTTTTATATAAATGAATTCATGCTGTATTATTTTCCTCCGACTTTATTTAGCTCAATATTATGCTTCTGACCTCCATCCACTTTGTTGCTGTGACTGAAATGGATTGCTTTTCACTGCTAAGCTCCTAGAGACCAAACAGCATTCTGCTGTTTTGCATGTCTGTGCATCTAGCACAGAGTGGTCTCTCTTCCTGTGTGTCCTTTCCTTTACCTTCTTCACTTAGTGAATTTCTTCTTTGACGCCTCCCTCAAAGTTTCCTTCTTTAAGACCCCTCTCCAGACTCCTTTATGAAAGTAGATGCTTCTTGATTTATCCTCCTCTACATACGATCTAACTTTGAGTCGGTTACGAGAGCTACTGCCTACAGACACAGAATTTCCCCAACAACAATGGAACATTCATAGATCCCTTGAAGCTTATCCGAGGACCATAACACAACATATCAGTGTTACCTAAATGTCCTTCTATCTTGTAGACTGAGGGTTCCCTGCATGCAGTGACTCTTTTCATCATTGGTCCCCAGGGTCTTAATGGGTCTGACACGTGAACATTTGGCTCTCACTGATGTCTGTTACCTTAGATGGGGAAAATAAACTTTTTGCAATAGGAAACCCAATAGGTATAATAATTTACAAAGATACTTTTGCCAAATTTTGTGGCAAGGCAAAAAGCTATAAAAATGTATGTTACATTCTTGTCTTACCATTTAATTTTTTCTTTTTATCTTCAGGATGAAGCTCTTACATCAGGTGTCAAGAGTCTGGAGAACAGATGGGTTGAACAGTTGTATTTATAAGTTAGTCTCTGTGGATTACAATCCTTTATATATCAACATCACAGTGGATTTTTGGTCTGCCCCATGACCCTGGATCATCTGGTGATGTTTGGAAGAACTGAATATTTGATTGCAATAATTTTGGCCTAGAGACTTCCCCTAGTAGCACACATTAAGAACTAGTTGTGGCTAATTATCTAGCCGAATTTTCCCTTTTTATATTTTCTTAGCGGAGCTCCTGGTGAGATGGAATGTAACACACTTGTAACAAAACAGCTTTCTTTGTTATTTTGATCATGAGGGTTAAAATGTTGTAAAACAGGTACTTGAAGGACTAAATGTAAAAGCAGTAATCAAAAGATATGATACAGGCTTCTTGGGAACTCTAATTGAAGGATATTTATTTAAGTTTGAAGTGATACATTGTGGGATGAAAAAGGCCACAGGAAATAAGGTTGCTGAATGTCCCAGAGAACCAGAATTGTTCTCATCCGAGAGATAAAGATACGAAGATGTATTTCTGTTACTCAATTTATTTTGCATGGTCATCTGTGAAGAGATGGGTCCCAGGTGAGAAGAAGGAAACAGAAGAGAGGAAAAGGATGAGGAACCAAGATGCAGTGAATTTGGGAACAAAGAGCCACATGGCGGGAGGACAGTGTTGTGCTGGCTGCTGCTGCTACTATGCAGGTGGTATCACCTGCCCGATTACACCTTCTAGTATGAGCCCAGAAAAAAAAAACACATTATCTACTAGTTTTTTAAGAATTTTTGTAAAATGATTTTGTACATGTAGGATATGAATTAGCACTTTACTGATTACATATTAACTAATAATACATCAAAAATACCTCTGCAGTAAAATATGAAAAGCTTTAGGTGCTCAATCTTGTTTTTCATTGTTGTGTGAGGTTTACAGATGTGTCCATAATCCTAAACAGCTTAAAAACAAATGAGACCAAATCCTCCCACTGCCTCTCTTCTTCATCCTTCCGTTCTGCTCTCCCCTTTCTTCCTGTGTGCAACGCCCTCGTATAACCAGCTCGGGGCCTGTGGCAGGTGCCTCTGCTTCTAGTTTCCTGGACCACATCATGTTTTTGTTCTCTTCATCCTCCTGTGCCTGCTCCTTTCTCAGGATCAATAATGGATGCAGTAGAGCTGGCCTAAGGGACACACCTGGTTGGTTATAGGACAGGTAGGAGTGGAGCGGAGGGTTTGGAAAGCATTTTTATTTGGAAGGAAGGTGGGGCCATAGAACAGACGAGTAGTGGCAGTAATTTGAGGGAGAAGCCACAACACTGCTGAGCTTCCTGGGGAGGGGGCAGGAACATGGGAGAATAATTTAAGGAAGGCAATAAGACTGGTATGAGTCAGAACAGAAAGAAAAGTATTTTGTTGCGTAGGTGAATTGACAAATAATACAGCATGGATGTTCTTAAGCAAGTATTACACAACTGCCCCAGGGTCTCTCAGTCATTCATTATTAAATGACATTTTAATTGTTAAACTTTAACATGAATGAGTGCCGGCCCCAAAAGTGTAAATAATATCCTTCCCAAACAGGGAGAGGGAAAGAGGGTTGGGAGCTCCCAATAAAAACTGCAGTCACCACCGAAGTGGAGAAGGAGAATTTAAAAGGAGAATACATTTTATAGACGTAACAAGTTTACCTAGGGCTAGCCTGGTTTACCTTTAACTCAGGACAAAGGCTTTTTCTCCTCTTTATCTAGCACAGAAAGAGTGATGGAATTTGTATCCCTCCCCCTCACCACCCATGCTTGCACTTCTCTTTTCTGCAGAATCTTTTTAGCATTCTCTTTAATTTTTTAAATTATAATTATATACAGACTGAACTATTTTAATTGCCAACAGCCTATGCCACGGACCCCCAATTTGGAGGCTGTGGGTCTCTGGTCATGGTTGGGGAAGATAAAGGAAGAGAATAATGTGTGTAAGGAATTTGAGGATCCATATTTGAGAACTCAGTTTCTTATTCAGTGGAAACTAAATATAGTTACAACCATGTGGAAACTCCCTGTGTATTTCCAGCTATTAGCAAGGCATCCTGCACTTTAAAAAATGTTAGTAATCACTGTATTATGCCTATTACTATTTTTCAGATGATTCAGCCAAGATAATGTACAAGTCATTTAAATGACTTGTTATGAAACTTCTTGAGATGGATGATAATATTTTATGACCTTTATTTCCCCACTGTGTCACTTTACCTGCACTGGGACTTGAAATCCAGTGACATGTAGCTGCCTGCTCGTTCATCGCTTCGTCCTGCTCTCTCGTCATTCTGGCAGGGGAGTTTGCTCCCGAAGGACCTGAGCTTTGTCCCAATTCCTGCCCTGTGTATTTTTCATTATCAATTGCTACAAAGAGGCCAAGCTTTTTTGAGTATTGTAGATATGCTTACCATAATTGCTAAGGATTATATGGGTGCAGTCTATTTGAACATAACAAATACTTAGCACAAAGACTGCTCCTTAAAAGTTTTTATGGATTTTTTTTCTCACACCACCACTCATATATATGGCACTTTATGGTTTGCAATGTTTTTACATACACTTTATTTATCCTGTTGACTCTTGAGACAAGTAGGGTAGATGAGGAAGTGGAGGTTCCAAACAGGTGGGGGACTTGCCAGAAGTCCCACAGCTAGTAAGTGGCAGACTCAGGCTTCAACTCAGATTTTCTGATGTGAAGACCATTATACAATCGTGCCTTCATCTGGGCTTCTCAGATTCTCTGAGGTAGTTTTCCTAAAGAAGTCTGGTAGCTTCTGGGCCCTAAAGAGTATGTTCCATTCTCATTTGGGCTCTGAACATTTTTCCAGACTCTTTGGCTTGTTTTTCTGCCATTAGCGCCCTCACTTCCTGGGAGCCCCAAAATGCTCTTGGGAGAAATGAGACATTTTCTGCCAAAGTCAAAACCTCTACTATCCCCAAGTCCTATATGTATATGGTCCCTTTTAAAAGCCATTAGCATGTCCCACGAGATGGAGCATATTTAGGTACATTTCATAATTTCTTTTTTTGCCAATCACATTTCAAAAAATTTTTTTAAGTTTTCCTTAGTACCTTATATAAGCTATTGCTTCCTCGATTGGTTTTAAGTACCTTGAAGACCATCTTATATCTCCTGAGTGGGCCTGATGGGTCTTAAAAGTATTCGCAAAGATGTGGCTGAGGGGCCCTATCCCCAGAAAGCAGGCCTGTACAGGCAAAGGTTCCATTGTTGCATTGACAACTGTTAAAGTTGAAAACTCAATTAAAATTGAACCGTGTGTGTGTGTGTGTGTATGTGTGTGTGTAGTTTGGGGCCTTGGGGGAGAGATTGGTGCCATCGTAATTGAATGCTTGCTTCCTATTACTCAATTTCCCTGTGTTTATTTTAAGTTTCCAATAGCCCTGTAGGTATATACGTGCTGCAAAGAGAAAACAGATTCAAGTTAAGTAACTTCCCAAAGTTGGTAAGAGGAAGAGATGAAATTTGAACTCATGTCTCTCTTTATTCCTATCTCCTG